ATGATGGGTCCCCAAAAGTCCTTCCTTGGTCCTTCTCAGTTCCCTGTCTGCATCCCTCCACTCATACACAACCCTGGGAACATTGCACAGCATTGAAGAAAGTGTACAATATCTGGGGAGATCCACAAGCCTTGGGAAGAGCCATAACCTTTGGGAACATCTACAATCCTTGGGAAGATCCACAACCTTTGGGAAGGTCCACAAGCTTTGGGAAGGTCCCCAACCCTTGGGAAGACCCACAACATTTGGGAAGATCCCCAACCCTTGAAAAGGTCCCCAGCCCTTGGGAAGATCCACAACCCTTGGGAAAATGCACAACTCTTGGGAAAATCCAAAGCTCTTTGGAAGGTGCACAACCCTTGTGAAAGCTCACAGCCATTGGGAGGATTCACAGTCATACAACCCATGGGAAATCTCTGTCCATCAGCCCTTAGCTTGCTGCTGAAAGGTGCTCCATGTGCTTCCTGCACAAGCGTGCTGCAAGGAGCCACTGTGGTATAAGGGAGCTCCAGCCCAAGGAGCATCCCAGCATCCAGATGGGTCTCATCTCCTCCCAGCACAGGGTGACCCAGTCCTTTTACATCAGCCTATGCAGTTTCACATCAGGATTTTGCATCTTCCACAGTTCTTCAGCCCCTCACCACAACCATTAAGTCTCATCACTGCCTTGGAGATGTCCCCATTTCTATGATGGCATCACCCCATGGGTGCTTGGCTGTCCCTCTCCCTTTCCCTCTTTGCTACAGGCTCAGCAGATGCTCCTCCATCCCATTTTCCCCCCAGACCAACCCAGACCCATCAGGTTTGGCCTGTTTGCTGCTTGGACATAAACACCCAGGTTCCCCCCAAAGATATGATATAGAGATGGGACATCCCAAAATGAAGGATCCCTTCTCCCCATGAGGTTTTGGGTCTCAAACCCCCCCCCCCCCAGGGCTGTGGGACCCCTACACTGCAGTGCTGCAGGGAGGGTCTCCATGGGGTTATCCCCTGCTCCCAAACCCTCCAAAGTATCAAGGGGCAACCAAGCCCTTGGGAAATGGGAGAAGCCAGCTGAAACCCAACCACCAGCACTGCACAGGGCTGGGAGCAGCCAGCTATCACCTCCTTCTCTCTCGAGGAATTTGGTTTAAATATTTCAGGTTGTCACCATGCGTGAAACCACTGGCCTGACAACGGTGTTCCAGCTTGAAATAAAACAGCATGTTTCTACCCCAAAGAGATACCATGGTGGTTTCCCTCCCCAGAGCACCATGGGGACCCAGTGTGGGAACATCCCCTGCCATATCCTGCAAACGGTAATTCCCATCACCCTAAGACCCCTCCATACCCCAAAACCATGGAACTTTGAGAGGATAATTCATCACTAAACCTTCACCCATTCTCATCCCCAGGGTGGCTCAACACACCCCTCCAAACCATTTTTCTTGTAGGGAAAAATCAGGAAGGGAAAGAAATCCATGCCAAAATATAATAATAATAATAATAATAATAATAATAATAATAATAATAATAATAATAATAATAATAAACCACACCAGGGATGTGCTGGGAGGATGTATGGAGCTGCCTGGCTGCTCCTGCAGTTGTCTGCTGGCCCGGTTTGTATTTTGGGGTCGTTACAAAACGCATCCCCTCAGGTTAACCCCTCCTGGGTGAGCCGGAGCCCACCCAACACAAAGCCAACAGGAACTTGGTTTCCATCAGTCGCCTTTGGTGGGATGATAAAGCATTTTTCTGCCCTTAGGGCCGGGGCCACAGCATCATGCAGTGCTGATATTCCAGGCCTGGATTGCTGCCCGTGTCTCCCAGGGTACCAACCCGCCTCGCTCTGTGTTCTCCAGCCCTGAGCCACCATCCAGCCCAGGCTGCTCTGAACGCCGCATGGTCCCAGCCCTGGGCATGGCCGTGGGTCCATACAAACCCTCCTCCTTCCCACACCAAAATAACGATCAAAAATAGACTGAAGGGGACCACCATCCCTCCCTCCTCCCTCCCTCCCCCCCCCACCCCCCACCTAAGATGAGCAGCGCCCTCAGAGATGGCAGAAAACCCCCACAGCTGTGGGCTGCTCGGGTGCTGCTACCTGCGATCCATCATGGAGCCTTTCATCGCATTGTTTAGCCTTATTTCTTTTCTTTCCCCATTCCCCCCTCGAAACAAAATCAAATAAAGAGACCATCGATATCCCCAGCTGCTTGGTGGAAGGAGGGTGGAGGATGCCGGTCCCCATCCTTAGGGCTGCAGTGAAGGCAGGGTGGGGGCAAGGATGGCTGAATCCCACTAGCGGGTCCCCCTCTCCTCCCAGCTTTGTCCCCATCGCGTCCCCCCCCTGCTTTGGGGACAAACCACCTCCTCCCAGCTCAGCATCCTCTGCCCCATACCTGCTTCTCCGGGCTCCTCCGGCGAGGGCAGCATCTCTCTCCCTTTTCCCTTATCCTCGAGGATAAGTGTGTGTGGGGGGGGGGGCTCAGGAAGCGCCCACCCGCCCCAGTGCACAAAGGCTGCGATTGCGAAGCGGCTCAGGGCTTTGTCGGGGAGGAGAGATGCGGGGCCCCCGGCCTCCGGCTCCCCGCGGACAGCACCTCCATGGGGCCGGGGAAGGAGTGGGAGCGGGGGGGGGATTGAGGGGGGAGCGGGAGGGGCGGGAGGAAGAGGAGGAGGAGGAGGGCAGAGGCTGAAGGCCCCGCTGGGAGGAGGGAGCGAGGGCTCAGGGGGGGCTGCGCATGGGGAGCGGGAGGAGGATGGAGGGATGGATGGAGGGATGAGGGATGGAGGAAGGAGGGACGGAAGGATGGAGGGATGGAGCGCCCGCAGCCGCCGCCTCCTCCTCCTTTGCAGCTCGGAGTGCCGCTCGCTGCTGCTTTCCTCCCGCACAGCTCCCTCTGCCTGTCTCCCCACGAACACCGCGGGCTCTCCGCCGGGCTTCGCTGCCATGCGGCACCCGCATTCCCCAACCCGCATCCCTCCTGCCCGCCCTGCCTCTCCTCTGCCCCCCACAGCCATTCCCTGCCCTCGGCAGCAGCCGCCTGGGATCGACCCTCAGCACCCCCCCACAGCATCCCATGGGCGTGTGGCCGTGGGCATCTGCATCGCTGTGTCCCCCATCCGTGGGTGCAAGAAACATGGCTTGGTCCTGAAACAGTCCCCGAGCATCCTAGCTTAATCCTCGACTTGGTCCTGCTGTGATTCCTGAGCTCCTGTGTTTGATACCCAAACTCCCAGACAGTCCCCAGGCTTGGTCCCCATCCAAACCTGAGTGATCCAGGCTGCTTCTCAGCTTGGTCATAATCTGGTCCCTAAACAGACAAACTTGGTCCCTAAGCATCCTGGCTTGGCTCCCAAACACCGAGCTCCCCATCTTGGTGCTGGTCTGGTCCCTGAGTGCCCAGCTTTGTCCTGATCTGGAGCCTGAGACACCCACCTCAGTCATAGTCTGGTCCTTAGTAGAGTCCTGGCCTGGGTCATGGTCCAGTATCAAAGAATGCCTTGGGTTGGAAGACCTCAAAGATCATGTAGTCCCAATCCCATATTTCATCTTGGACCTCAGCTTGGTCCTGATCTGTCCCCAAGCACCCACAGCAGTCCTTGCCTTATTCCTCCTCCAGCCCCAAGCACTCCAGCTCGGTCCCTGGTGCCAAAGCCACCCAGCACGGTGTTCCTTTATTTGTGAACACAGCTCTGGGGAGATGGCATGGGGAGACCGTCCTGAGCGACAAGCAGCTGTCCCCATCTTCAAGAAACGCTGAAAGGTTGGGGTACAACCTGCCTCATCCTGCCCTGATTCAGCTGCATCCTCCATCCCTTCCTCCCTCGGTAGCCCCAGTCGTGGAGCAGAGCTTGGAGGCTTTACAGAGCCCAGAGCTTTTGCAGAGCTTTCAGGCTCTCATCAATAATGGATGCACTTTGGGAGGGGTATTAATAAAGCCTCATGCATGATGCATGCTGAGTGGCGTGTGGGAATTGTGTGTGCCCTCTCCTGGTGAGGTGTTGCAGAGGGCGCCAGCAGGAGCACACCCAGAGGGGATGAGCACCCTTGGGTGCCAATGGGCGTCTGAGACTTAAGGATAGGTGCAAGGGGACTTTTAGGACTTAGGATACCAGGTACAACCATCCCCATTTCACCTTTCTGTAGCCCTGAAAGGCCTTTTGTCCAGGTTCCCAAACTCATTTCCCACCCACGGCCACCCCATGGTGTGGGGCAGCAGATCCTATGGGACAGAAACATGGGATAACAGTGTCCATCATACCTGGAAGGATGCTGCAGCCCAAATGCCAACAAAGGGCTGAGGGATCCCGAGGATGGAGGGGGAAATCTCTACTCCTCTATAACACAGTTTTGGCTCAGATCCCCAATTTTCTGCGATGGTAACAAGGAGAAAAATAACCTCGATCCCTGAGGCCCGTTTTCCCCATTTCTTGCGGGATGTCTCCTTATTGCCCTCTACCCAAGCTTTTCTGGTGCTCAGGGGCACACATCCTTTCCACCGCTTGCACTGAAACCCCCCCAGGATGCTGTGTCCATACCTCCTTCCCGCAGCACACCCCCATAATACCGCAGGGACCACAGGTTGGGGCTGCCTGAGGCTGAGCCGACTGCGGGGCTCCAAGTAGGACAAATCCCTCCAGGAGCAGCGCTGGGCTGGTGCCCAGGGCACAGCATCCGCAGCCACATTGCTCCCTGCAGAGCAACCCAGAGCCACAGCATCCTTCTTGCAGAGGGCCCCTTCCCCGCTCTGCCTCGGGACAGAGCTGCCCACCCTGCAATAGGGGGATGAAGACCATCCCTGTTGATAGGTTTTCCATCCCTGCTGATGGGTTTCCCCTCCATGATCAGTTATTTGGGCACTTTTTTCCCCCCGTGATGTGGCAGCTAAAGGTCAAAAAAACGCAGCAGAAATCCCACAGCCGTCAGCTGCTGCGCAGGTTTTGAAAGGCAGAGAGAGCTCGGATTAGAACAAATCTTTAATTATAAAAATAGACACAACTCTGCTATAGTCCTGATAGATTCTTTTTACAAACAGGAAAATATTTATAACCGTAATTACGACATCACCATTCCAAAGGGGCACCGCCGTGCACCGCTCTCCATCATGAAGCCACGCGGTGCCTGCTCCTCTGCCATTGCCTTCCATTGGGAAAGCACTCAGTGCGCCCGGAACACCGCGTGCAGTGCGGGTGAGGCACAGCTTGCTGCAAACACAGCCCCAGCCCGTGTGTCCGTGAGTATAAAAACTGTGGGTAATCAATCCCCTTCTGTACAGTATATTTTGTCCTGTTTTCCTCCTTGGAAGAGGAGCTGTAGGGATGACTCAGTCTCTGCAGGTTGGAGATGGCTCCATTGGCTGGAGGTGTTGATTTTGATGGTAATGGTGGAAAGTCTTGGTGGCAGATGGACTTGATGATGTTAGAGGTCTTTTCCAACCAACGATTTTGTGGTTTTATGACAGTGTGAGTCGCTGTCCAGCACTGCCTGGCCTGAACCTCTCCTCCCAGCGCTCCTTCCGCGGCACCTTCACTGGCACCTTCTCCATGGCTGCACCATCTCCAGGGCCACCCCAGGTTCTCCCCACCATGGGATGTTCCCACCATGGGATGCTCTTCCATGGGACGTTCAACGTCCTGTATTGGGAAACACCATCTCCCATCACCAACATTGGGTTTTCACAGCGTGCCGAAGGAGAGACCCACCGAGAAGAACCCCAACCCTTTGAGCTTCTCTTCTGTCCGCGCTTTCTGCTTCAGGTGGACTTTGCTGTGTCGCTTCTTTTCATCGCTACGAGCGAAGCGCCGTCCGCAGGTGTCACAGGAGAAGGGTTTCTCACCCGTGTGAGTGCGGATGTGGGTGGTGAGGTGGTCGCTGCGGCTGAAGTTGCGCAGGCAGATGCGGCACTGGAAGGGTTTGTGGCCCGTGTGGATCCGCAGGTGCCGGTTGAGCTCATCGGAGCGGGCAAAGCTCCGCACGCAGTTCTCCACTGGGCAGGCAAAGGCTTTCTCATGGGGCTTGGGGCAGAAGCATTTGGAAGAGCACTTGGTGCGGCGTGTCTTCTTCTTGGGCTCGGCTAAGGTAGGAGGGGTGGGCAGCAGGGAGGGGACGGAGGTTGGCACGGGGTGGCCTAAAAAGTCCGTGGGGGGCACTGAGGGTGAGGGATGGGGATGGAGGATCTCGGTGGAGCCCATCAGACCTGGAAGGACCTCAGGTTGTGCCAGGGAAGAGTCGAACTCCGGCATCAGCTGGGCAGGGAGGTTGTGGATTTTGGTGTCAGCAAAGTTCTCTGGCTCACAGCCAAAACCCAAATTGGTGCTGGGGAAACAGCCAGGATCCTCCGTGAGGCTTCCGAGCTCTGCCTGGCAGCTGACGGTCAGCGCATTTTCCATCTTGGAGCCCAATGGATGGAACATGGCCTGGCCGCTCTCCCCCGCTGGGAAGGTCTCGGTGGGATGGAAGCCAGTGGGTAGGAAGGGTTGATGTGGGGTGATGGGCTCCCACTGGGCACAGGGGGCTTTGAACTTATCCAGCGCTGTGGAGCTGGAGGGCAGCTTGATGTCCTGCTTGGTGTCCAGCAGCTTGCTCTCGAAGAAGCACTGGGAGGTGGTTCCCAAGGAGGGTTGAGGCTGCAGTGGGTGCACGGCGTCCACAGAAGGGAAGCTGCCGTAGCTCTGCTCGGTGAAGGAGGCTTGCATGGAGCCATTCATTTCAGGCTGGCAGCTGGGATAGAGGTCCATCTGGTTGGGTGCCACCTCAGGACAAGGATAGAGTGCATCCAAGTGTCTTTGGTGGCCCTCGGAGGTGGCGAAGGGGGAGATGCCCAAGATCCCTGACATCAGGTTGAAGAGGGACTCCTGATCCTGGGGGTGCTCAGGCACAGCCTTGATGAAGAAGCTGCCAGTGTAGCTGAGCGAGGGGGACAGCTGGCTGCCAAGGGGGGGGTATTCCAGCAGCTCACCTGGGGATGCAGAATGGAGAGTGTTAGAAAGATAATGGGGTACAGACAGGGAGACGCGAGGGAACGGTGGGAGTCTGATGGTGCGTCACTGCGTGATTTCCCTCCCCCTCCCCCGGGGATGCACAGGGAGCCCTGGGCTTCACCCCCCTGGGCACTGCCAGACCCACAGCCAGGGACTGCAAGACAGAGGAGGGGATGTGCTCGGTTCCAGGCAGAGGAATGCAGTCCCAGCAGGGTGCCCCCGGCCCTGCCCTTACCTCCGAGGAATTCGGCCTCCTCCAGAAGTTGCTGCTCAGGCTGCCCCAAGCCCTGCAGGTCCCCAGCTTTCATCTCGCAGCTCTCCTCGTACTTGGAATACAACGGGTCCGAGCAGGAGAAATCCATCACATTGAGCATTTCCCTGGGATGCAGGGATGGATCAGATGGAGTGGGCTGGAGGATGCTCCGGGTGAGCCGGGAAGGATTGCTCCAGGGATGCTTCGGGTTATCCAGAGGATGCTCTGCAGTACTCGAGGTGATGCTTGGAATGCTTGGGGTTATTCGGATGGTGCTTGGGATGCTCTGGAGGATGCTTAGGGTTATGCAGAGGATGCTCAGAGTGCTCCAGGAGGATGCTTGGGGTTATCCAGGCGATGCTCTGTGGTGCCCTGCGTGATGCTCAGGATGCTCAGAGTGATGCAGGGGATGCTTGAGGTGACGCAGGGGACGCAGGGGATGCTTGAGGTGCTCGGTGAAGGTGCCGGGAACCCTCCAGGGGATGCAGCGAGGCGCTGGGAACAATCCTAGAGACGCTGCAGGATGCGTAGGGCAATCCGAGGGGTAAGAGGGAGGGTGCCGGGGGGGCTCGGGGCGGTGCTGGGTGTTCGGTCGGGGGTTCCGTGCCCGGGGGGTGGGAGGGGGCCGGCGGAGCAGCGCAGCCCGTGCGGACACCCGGCTCTCCCTCCCCGCCACCCCCTTTATAGCTGCAGCGGGGCTGCTCCGACCCTTCCGCCGCAGCCATTTCTGGAGTCCCCAGTGAGGCTGCCGTGACGTAAATGCCCATATATGGACTCAGGATGTAGGCTAGGGAGTCCCAATAAGGAAATCTCTCCCGTGACGCGCTGCCCCTTCCCTCCCCCCATCCCTCCCTCCGCCTTTTCTCTCGGTTCTTTTTTTTTCTCCCTTCTCCCCCCCTCCCTACCTCCCCTTTTCCTTTCTCCTTCTCTTTCTCTCTCTCTTTTTTTAACTACCGATCTCGATATCTCAACAAATCGTTGCGAGCTGCGCGGGTGCTGCAGAGCCGCGGTCCCTTCGCTCCGCGTGTGCGCGTGTGTCTGTGCCCGCTCCGTGTGCTTGTGCATCCGTGTGCATCAATTTATGCGCCTAGGATACGAGCGGCTGCGTGCATACCTGTATGTGTGTGCATTCACATGCACTTCCATGTTATCTCTATGTATTTCTGCGTGCGTCCCCGGAGCGCGCACGCAATCCCGCTCCCCATGGTGTGCAAGCACACACACACACACATACAAACGTGTGCACACCCCCCGGGAGCCCCCAGCCTCACTATTGGGACGCAGCGCCCTCCGGATGCGGCCCCGAGCGTTGGGCTCTGGCTCCGTTCCCAACGTGGGCTGCTGTTATTCCAGATTTACATCTCCCCAGGCTCTTATTCGCCTTCTGCTATTTTTTTTCCCCCCCCGTGAATGCCTTTTGTTGCTCTTGTTCCTTCTAGAAGCGTGAAAGGTGCCGGGTTTTGAGGTTTCTCCCCCCTTTCCGAGGAGGGTTTTGCAACGTTTTGCCGTTTCTGCTGGCATTTTGCACTCGGATCCCGGCTGTGCGGCTGCTCCTGCGATGGGGCGAGCAGCCAAAGGCTGCGGGCAGCTCCTCCTGCTCCCCAGCCCTCCCCGCACATGGCTCCCACCCAGCACGGCGCCACATGCATGGATTCAGGCTGGGAAAAGGCACACTGACCCCATCGATGCACCCAAAGGGGATGTTTTAAGGGTAGAAGTGATAGGAACAGTGATTTGGAAGGCTCTTTCTACTGCTGCTCTCAGCATCTTGAAATCTGCGCTGAAGAAAGCCTGCTTGTCCAGCTTCATCATTTGGAGATTTCTAATTTCCCAAACTTTCCATATTTTCAGTTTTCCGTGCTTCCGGTTTTCCAAATTTCCAAAAGCAACCTGGATTTAAAGCCCAGCCCAGCAGAGTGGCCGTGCCTTGGTGAGCTGGCATTGAGCACGGTTGGTTTGGGTAACGAGGGGAAGGCTTTCTCAAGCTGATTTGGAGCCCAGTAGAAAATAGTTGTCTGACAGTATTCACAGTGCAGCCAATGGGAAGCTCAGCGCTGGCCATGAGCATTGCATCTGGGATGTGGCTGTGGTGGGAAGGAAGGAGAAAGCTGCAAAGAATTATTTGGGAAGCTGGGAATTATAGAGCCATGGGACGGTTTGAGTTGGAAGGGACCTCTAAAGGCCATCTGGTCCAACTCCCTGCAGTGAACAGGGACACCCACAGCTCCATCAGGTGCTCACAGCCCCATCCAGCCTGATCTTGAGTGCCTCCATGGGGCATCCAACACCTCTCTGCAACCTGTGCCAGGAAGGGATGTGCCCTGGTCCCCAGCTGTGTGTTTGCAGAAGCATGGCTATAGCTTTGTTAGGATGCTGGGTGCCCATGGCTGCACCTACGGGACCAAGCAAGGGTGCAGTGCTATTCCTGGCTGGGCCATGACTCACCACGTCACCTTGGGCAAAGCACTCTCAGATGTGTCTAGCAGTGCTTCCCCATATTTTCCTCTGTAAAATGCACCAAGATCTCTGGCAGAGAAGTGCAAAGAAGCATTAAGCCTGGCTGGTGATTCAGGGAGTGTCAGAGAATAGGCTGTGAGGTTGGGGATGGAAACAAAACAACCCCAACCCAACCCCACCACATCCCTCAGTGCCACATAGAATCAACCATGGAATCATAGAATGGCCTGGGCTGAAAAGGACCACAATGATCATCTAGCTTCAACCCCCTATGCTACGTGCAGGGTCACCTACCACATCTCCACTCTTGTTTTATTTGGATGTGCTGATCTGGTTTGTCAGCATTATGCAGGGGGATGTAGGGTCTTAGGGTAGAGTCCTCACTCTTGTGAAGAAGGCAGGACCTCCTTTTCTCCTGGAGATGAAAAAAATTGCCCCATCTGTATATTTTAAAGTAGCGGTGGTGTTTCAGTTTGAGGCAGGGAAATGTTGTGCTGTCTGCAGAATCACAGAATGGTTAAGGTTGGACAAGACCCCAAAGATCATCACGTCCAACCATCAACCCATCCCCAGCATGCCTGCTGCTAATCACACAGGGGTGGTTGGAGTGCTATGGGTACGGCCCTATTTACCCAATTCTGCTTAGAATGAGAGAAACAAAAGCCGATTGGCGTTAGAAAATCAGAAAATCAGTTCTGAAATCTGTAAATGACTCTTTTTGTTGGCATCTCCCACTGGGGAGGGTGGCTGTGTTGGCGAGGGCAGCATCGGCTCTGAGCAGGGAGGTGACACCGCCAGAGATGGCTCCAATGAAGTGCATGAGGTCATGGAAAACGTGACTAGGAGCACAGCCAGGTCCTGGGGCTGGCTGCTGGCACCAGGCTTCGGTGCACAGAGGGGCACTTGGCTCAGGAGGACGTGGGATAGCCTTCCTACAGTGAATCGTGTCGTCACAGAGGGACGGGAAGGAAATCCATGCGCTGGGGCCAGCTCTCTCCCTGCTTTGTGGGGAGAGCAAATGGGGCTCATATCTTGCCCCAGTTTTCAGGTCCTGATGTTTCCCAGGGGGTCTTACAGCATGGAAATGAAGTTCTGACTCTTGAGTTTGTCCCATTTCTCCTTCAGTTTTCACCCTCAGGAGCATGATCTGGGCTCTTCCCTATGCTCCAGGGGGATTTTATCACAGTCATAGAATGGCTGCTTTGAAAGGGACCTTAAAGCAACCCCAGCCCCAACTCCTGATGTGGGCTGGTTGCCCCCCACCAGCTCAGTCTGCCCAGGGCCCATCCAACCTGGCCCTGAGCATCTCCAGCTCTGGGCAGCCTGTACCAGGGCCTCACCTCCAAGTAAAGAAGAACTATGCTGAGTCTGGAATCCATCTTCCCAAAGGATGGGCTGAGCACTGGCTCATGGCAACCGTGCCACTATGACAGCCAGACTTAGTCCTATGTACTCATAGACGATGTTTAGGGAAAAAGATAACCCCCATGTGCCTTCTTCCACACCCCAGATATTCATGGCTCTTGCATCTCCTGTGTTAAAACTGTGCCTTATATTCAATAGTTCTTTGCATTTTTTTTCCCACTGTCCAGTTCCTTTTTGAACCCTCAGTGCTGTGAGATGAGGAGTGGTTTTGGTAAATAAATCTCTCTTCCTGTTAATTTCATACATGCTCTCAGGATTTAAGGGTTGCAACTGGGTGAGCTTTAAGATCCCTTCCAATCCAAGCCATGCTGTGATTCTGTGATTCTACGATTCTACGATTCGGAGGTTGGAACTGGATGGGTTTTAAGGTGCTTTCCAAGCCAACCATTCTATGGTCCTATGACTCTGTTATTTAGGGATTGGAACTGGGTGGGCTTTAAGGTCCCTTCCAACATATGCCATGCTTTGATTCTATGATCCTGTGGTTTGGGAATTGGAACTGGGTGTCCTTTAAGTTACCTTCCAAGTCAACCAACCTATAGTTTTATGATTTGTGGGGTTGGAACTGGATGATCTTTAAGGTCCCTCCCAACCCAAGCTATGCTGTGATTTGCTGGACACCCCAGGTTGTCATGGATGGAGCAGTGATTCCTCTTGGGTCGTCCACTGGAGGCGACACACCAACGGGTCGCTGCCCCACTGCCAGATTTCCATTCCTTGCCCCACATCTCTCCTCCAACCAGCTACATGCCCTTCCAGGAAAACTTCCCAAACACATCGCTCTGCATTTCCATGGCAACTGGCACACGACCAGCCCTGCTGTCTCCGCAGCAAATCCATTCCCAGCTCTGCAAAGAGGATGCTCAGTGACAGAGGGGATGACATGGAGAGGTCGAGGAGATCACCTGCACCACCTCTGCGTACCTCTGAGGACTTCTGCCCACCATCACCTTCCTTCTGATGGCTACAGCAGATTTAAGCAGCGTGTGAAGCTCTGTGAAATGTCTGCCAAAAGGGTTTTTATCATTGCCCAGCATGAGTGAGGATTGCTGGCTGGAATTTCAGAGCTGAGCCCGGCAGGAGGTCAGGGCGGATGGCTATCTGCCTCTGGGTTTTATGTTGCTGTTGTTGAATATCACCATATTCTTTGGGTGCTCGGCTGTGATGCTGTCTCTTCCTGTCCTTACCCTTTCTGGCTTGCATCTCCTGCATGCTTGCTGTTCTACCAGCTTTGGGGTGAAATCCCTCCAATTTGGGAGCAGGCAAGGACAGCGGGGCAGCCCACCTGCCATTGAGCTGCATTCTAAAAATAGGGTTGGATGAAGTCAGCTCTTCTCCTGCCCCAACAAACGATCATGTCCAAATTGATCCTAAAGGCAATGTGTTAATGCTGTGGGCTTGCAGAGCAGCAGCTCTCCTTCATCCCGTGTCCTAGCTACAGTATTTTTAGTGTGTGGCTTTGTAAGTGCTTGGGCTCAGGACAAGCACAGGGAGAAGATGGATCTGTCAGGAGAGCAGTGACTTTGCTGGGCATTTGTGGGCACAATTCCTGGAAATAAAGCAGGAGGGGATGATTTTCTCAATTTCTTTCCAAATTCACATTTTCCTTTAAGATTCGGTCTTAGCAGCATGCTGATGGGAAGCTGCAGGCACTTCAAGCAAGCCCTCCTTCCAGCCTGAATGAAATGATTCATTGAGCCCCAAATAAGCCTTTCTCCACTCATTCTCACGCTGGTTTTTCATCACCTCTAAAAACGCAGTATATTGTTTAATAAAACTTTACTTAAACCATTG